TAATCTTTTATTAGGCTATCTGTTGCCTGTGTTGTTACTGTTGTCATATTGTGTGTGATTTTAATTTTAAAACCCATTTGGGTTCATTTAACCCAGCAGTAGGCCTATAGTAGTATCGCTTTTTATTTCTCCTCTTTCCTATTACTTGTTTCGCTTCTGTTTCAGTTTTTATAACCATTTCTTACTATGTGTAAGTAAGTTGTTGTTTTTTAGCATGTGTGTTTGGCAGTGTTATTTTTTAGGATTACTGATAAACTACTGTCATTTGATTTGTATTATTTGTATTTGTTATTTATTTTAATTTTAGTTAAATTATGTCTGAATTTATTATGTCTGTATAGGCCTTTTATTAAGTTTTAGTTTGATTTAATTTGAGTTATTTTAATACTTCAACAAACTAAATGGAAATGAAATAACATATATATTTAATTTATATACAGTATGCATATACAGTATATATATATATATGTATGTGTGTGTGGTTGTACTTACACATATGTAGTTTTTTTTTTTGGTGTTTGGCTTAGTGTTATGTTAGAATCATTATTATACACTTATACCTTTTGTTCTTTAATATTTTGAATTGTTTTTAGCTTTATTTTTTGTTTTTCATTTAAATGTTAAGTTTTGAAATTGTGTTGTATGCATTTGTCATTTTTATTTAATCTCATTATTTTTAAAATGTGTATAGGTAGTATTTATAAAGTTTTAGCTTTTAGTTTTGGATCTGTTTTTAGTTGTTTTAATACCACAATTGATTGCTTCTGTTGTCCTCATTTGTAAGTCGCTTTGGATAAAAGCGTCTGCTAAATGACTAAATAAATAAAAAAATAACGTGTGACTCTTTTATTAATAAGCACTGACGCCCACATATGATTTACATTTCATGAATTGCATTAGGCTTCGTATCGGATGCAGCATCTCTCTCTCTCTCTCTCTCTCTCTCTCTCTCGCTCTCTCTCTTTATCTCTCTCTCTTTATCTGGCGTGAAACTTTGCAGGTGCTGAGACATCACTTTAAGCTAAGCCAGCGTCTTTCTGGGACTATCACACATGTATGATTCTGTTTTTGTGCTCAGTTGAAATCAGGACAGTTTTCTTAGTTGTCAAGTCTACATCTGCACTTGTCAGCTGGGTTTGTGTGGTTGTGGTGAGGCGTCTGCACAAGTAATTACACCAGCACAACATCAACTATACTGGAGAGAGAGAGAGAGAGAGTGCTTTGTCTCCATCTTTCTCTCTTCCACAGCTAAAACTCTTTAAGATATAAGCACTTTTAAAATAAGCACTGCAGTAAACATGATGAAGTGTGTGGCGTGTCTGAGAGAGTCTGTCATTTCAGTGTTTGGATGTCACTTGTTGTTTCCTCATTTTCAGTCTAATTTCTGTCCGTTTTCAGTTTATTTTGATTTTTTTTCTTTTCAGTTTGTTTTTCCATCTCTGTTGGAAGACAGAATCAGCCGTTGTGTTGTGCCTCCTCCTGTGTGATTGAGTTTTCACTCACTATTTTTTTCTCTTTTGTCTGTCTCTTTCATTCTTTAGGGTGTCAGTCTCACTGCTGCTGTCACTGTCTGTCTCTGCCTGTCAGTCCAACCTCCAGCGCCACATTCGTTTATTTCTCTCTCTCTATCTCTCGGTCTCAGGGGTTAATCATGGTGGAGATGCCACCACCATCCAGAGAGACTATAACAAGTCTTGTTATATAAGCTCTTGTGGAAATAAAAAAATTAGAAATGCTTCCTTTGTCGTTGCCTGACTCTCAAATTTAAAGCTTTCCTTCCTTTTTCTTTTACTCTGGTCAGTCTCTGTCTGGAGAAATACTCAAGACCGCAGTCATACTTCTTTACTTCTTCACGAAGGAACTGGATTCGCTATAAATGGAGATTCTAAACTCTGCACAATAGCAGTCTTTAAAAAGAGAATCCCTACCATTTCTCCATTGGACGGGATCCACGAACTACACCAAAGGGACTCATTTATTAATAACGACGAAACAGTTTGTTATAAGTATGACGCATAAATAATGTTTAATAATTGCTCTGATGGAAGATCTTTCTCTAATAACTTGGAGGATTTTGATTCTATACGGAGTGTGCTTCTTTACAGGTTAGTACAGGACTCGTTTATTGATTTGATTAGATATTGTGAGTTGTTTGTTTGTTGCTTTCCTCAGCTGTTTCTCGCATACCGGAGGGGATTTAAAGACCTCGTGCGGTTTTTGGGAACCACTCGAGTGCAGGTACATTAAAATGTTTTGAAGTTAAATAAATACGAGCTTTCTATCAATATAACAAAATCGCTGATTTATTTAGAAACCTTAGCTGTCATTATAAACCTCTTATTTATTTTACACCGAAACTTTAATAATATTTACTATTCTGTTATTATGATATTAGTTTTTTTTAATTATACTAATTAATACACTATTACCGTAAATTATTGTGAAGTCGATCAGGCGATTCTGTTGCTGTCGTTTCTTACAACTAGCTACTTTCCACGCTGTTCGACAAAAGCTTCCGTGTCGCTATAGAAACGACTCGATTCTACCAATCCCAAGTTGAGAAACGCGTCACGTGGCCACTGGACGAGACCCGTATGAGGATAACATAGCAAGACGCTGTTGCCGTTCAAAAGAAGAATCCGCATTTTTAAACAGATCTAACGTTTATTGAGTAGAAAAATGCGTTAATGGCTTCTAGACGTGTTAAAGACGGAACCGGAACGGGGTTCGAGTCCGACTTACGCGAAAATAAGGAGGAAGATGGAGGGAGCGAAACTGATTCTGATGCATCAAGTTACAGTTACTCAGATTACTCCGAGTAAGAAACATCAACAAACTCAAAAACTGTAATTATTAATAACTGGATTGCCAATTAGATATCTTCAAGTTGCATGCTTTGCTATAAAACTTTCGTTTTGTTATTTACGTCGTTGTCAATTTGGCTGCATTTGTATACAGTGTGTATGTAAACATAGCCTATGCTTTTGTTTTATTAATATATGGGTCTATTGAAATAGATAAATGTACTTGAGCTGGTTTGGTTTATTTCAGTTGAGGGGTCTCTTCTGACCCACATTTAGCCTCATGAAAAGGAAAAATAGACCTCGTCCATTTTCTGCCCTCTCTCATTTTTAAGGGGATTTTCTGTTTCCAATTTGGAAAGTCAGCCATCATAAATAATTATATGCTATTCACCATCTTTAGTGAATGTATGGACGTGGTTGCCAAGAGCTAACCACCAAAGCAGTGTGGCTTAATTTAGAAATGGGGAAGAAAACATAATGGCTGGCTGAATATTGAGCTGAGCTTTTCTGGAATGAAGGAGAGGATTCGGTTTCAAAGCTTTAGGATGTGTGGCTTTCCCTGCAGCAGTCTGACTCATCGCTTATGTAGTGTTTAGTTTGTGTTTCAAAATTCTCTTGTACCACTTATTGCTTACTTGGTGGTGCTGAAATGTAGTCTGTTGCAAAAAGTGAGCGACTGCAATGTTTTCACACTCATAGAAACAAGAAATGTCTTCTTATCCGGAATATTGTGTTTGAGAGTATAGTGATTAGTTGATCATTCGCTGTACTTGATCTTAAACTACTTTAAATTAAAAAAATTCTACATTTTGTATAATTATTATACAGTATCTCACAGAAGTGAGTACACCCCTCACATTTTTGTAAATATTTTATTATATCTTTTCATGTGACAACACTGAAGAAATGACACTTTGCTACAATGTAAAGTAGTGAGTGTACAGCTATAACAGCGTAACTTTGTAGCTCCCCAGTGCCGGCAGCACTCATGCAGCCCCAGACCATGACACTCCCACCACCATGCTTGACTGTAGGCAAGACACACTTGTCTTTGTACTCCTCACCTGGTTGCCGCCACACACGCTTGACACCATCTGAACCAAATAAGTTTATCTTGGTCTCATCAGACCACAGGACATGGTTCCAGTAATCCATGTCCTTAGTCTGCTTGTCTTCAGCAAACTGTTTGCGGGCTTTCTTGTGCATCATCTTTAGAAGAGGCTTCCTTCTGGGACGACAGCCATGCAGACCAATTTGATGCAGTGTGCGGCGTATGGTCTGAGCACTGATAGGCTGACCCCCCACCCCTTCAACCTCTGCAGCATTGCTGGCAGCACTCATACGTCTATTTCCCAAACACAACCTCTGGATATGACGCTGAGCACGTGCACTCAACTTCTTTGGTCGACCATGGCGAGGCCTGTTCTGAGTGGAACCTGTCCTGTTAAACCGCTGTATGGTCTTGGCCACCGTGCTGCAGCTCAGTTTCAGGGTCTTGGCAATCTTCTTATAGCCTACGCCATCTTTATGTAGAGCAACAATTCTTTTTTTCAGATCCTCAGAGAGTTCTTTGCCATGAGGTGCCATGTTGTACTTCCAGTGACCAGTATGAGAGAGTGAGAGTGATAACACCCAATTTAACACACCTGCTCCCCATTCACACCTGAGACCTTGTAACACTGAGTCACATGACACCGGGGAGAGAAAATGGCTAATTTGGCCCAATTTGGACATTTTCACTTAGGGGTTTACTCACTTTTGTGGCCAGCGGTTTAGACATTAATGGCTGTGTGTTGAGTTATTTTGAGGGGACAGCAAATTTACACTGTTATACAAGCTGTGCACTCACTACTTTACATTGTAGCAAAGTGTCATTTCTTCAGTGTTGTCACATGAAAAGATTTAATAAAATATTTACAAAAATGTGAGGGGTGTACTCACTTCTGTGAGATACTGTATGTCTACATGCAGTTTCAGCTTTTATCAATTGAGAAACTACATGGAATAATTAATTAAAAAATGAATTTGTCACATTTGTAAAACCAGTTAATAAGCTTTTTTCCCCCTCTAAATTGGAACCTAAAATTGTGATGTTGAAAAATGAATGTCCAGTATTTTTATTGTTAACTAAAATAATAATACAAATTTTTTTCATTAAAGCTGAAAAAAAAAACTTTTACAAAAATGAAATGTTGCCTTGGCAACTAACAAATAAAAATAAGTTTAAGATGGAGTACTAAAATGAATAAAACTGAAATAAAAATAAATGAAGCTAAATAGAAATATTTGAAAAACAAACTAATAAAAGTGACTGAAGCACTTTTAAAAAAGTGACTGAAGGCTAAAACTTAAAATTAAATGAAAACTGAAATATTAAATACATTTAAAATATGAATAATTCTACACTAAAAATAAAACAATTATAACATAGAAATAGCTATTTTACAATTAATTACAGCAGGAAATACATTGAATTAAAATTAAATGTTGAAGTAGAAAGACTGACATGCAATTTTTTTTTTTTTTTGTAAAACCTCTTCCATTAATCTTTGTTTTATTTACAACTTAAAATATGTAAATTTTACATTGTGTAATTGTATATAAGCAATACTTAAATAAAACCTGCAGTCGATTTCAACCTTATGAAGCTGATTGAATTGACTTAGATCTTATTTATCAACATAGTCATGTCAGTAGATTTTAGCAAAAGAAGCTAGGCTGACTCAAAAAAGTTTGTTCTAAGAATAATGACATTCAGACATTTTAAGTGTCCAGATACTTTTTTGAGGCCACTGTATATTGGGTATTATTGCATGCTTCTCTAATGCTCTCTTTGTTTTGTGTCACAGTGACCTGGAGCCGGAATGGCTGGATGACGTCCAGAAGAACGGTGAACTCTTCTATCTGGAGCTGAGTGAGGGAGAGGAAGAAGCTCTGCTGGCCCAGGTCTCTGCCAATCACTCCGCTGCCACCAATCACGTCCGTTTCAGTGATAAGGAGGCAGAGATTATCACCGACAATGGCAAAAAGCAAGCAGCCTCTGGCAAATCCGAAGCAAAACTCAAGAAGTTCACCAAGATCCTGAGACGAAAGCGGCGACCATCTCAAAGGAAAGCCGCCGATGGAAAAGACGCAGGGTCTTCCCAGCGTCCCACCTCCATATTGAAGAATCAAGCGGGCCAGCGGCCTGGAGTCGTGGTCCAGCAGCAGCGTCTGAAGGACGTGTGCGTGTATCTGAACCCCAAACGTCTCGCCGGTTCCACGTCTCCGTCTCCTGAGAGAGGTGGATTGTTAGAGGCCTTGCTGGGTGTCGTTCACCGTCCAGGAGGAAATGCTGGGAAAAAAGGGGGAAAACTCATCATCCATGGTCTGGTCCCACACAGTCCCGCTAGCAAGTGTGCAGAAATTCTTATCGGTAAGCGCAGCTAGACCAGGAATGGGTCAGTTAAGAAATTTACTAGTATTTTTTAGGGATGCTCCGTTCGATCGGCTGGAGATCGATATCGGCCGATAATCACATTTTATGACTCGATCAGTACTCACTACACTTGGCCGATCTTACGAACCGATCGCAATTTGATGACGTCAACGCGTGACGATGTACATGATGCGTGGGGACATAAATGATTTGGCGCCACAGTCATGTCATCGCCGGTGTGGAAATGCTATGACGTTTTGAGAAACAATGAAAAATTCGCTATTTGTCGTGTATGTTTTTCATGATGATATGATGAATGGATGGTTTATTTTTAACAGCCGATTCAGTGACGTTAGAGCTGATCTGCGCATCACTGTACACGTCTGCCGAGCGTTACGGCTCCACGGCCACCGGAGCTGATCGCGACCGATCTAGTCAGTGCTTGTGTTTATCAGCCAGCCGCAGCACGTTTCTGAAGCGGCTCTCCGTGCTGCTTGGCTAAAAATAGTCTTTTGTGAGTTGGCACAGCGTGGAGGATGGAACAAAACCTCGTCGGTGCCGTAAGGGATAACGGTAACATAACACGCTGATCGTGGGCTGCTTTTAAAT